TGGGGAACGAGAACCTGCACTCGATGACCACAGAGACGCGCTACAGCCTGCGCGTGGACATGTGGGACTGGGATGACCGCTTCGCCTACGCACAGTACAACATCTTCCACGTCGGCCCGGAGACCACAGGATACAGGCTGACCGTTGAGGGCTACAGGGAAGAGAGCACGGCTGGGGACTCGCTCAAACATCACTCGGGCATGGGGTGAGAGCTTTACATTACCTTTTAATTGCAGGCATAGCGTAAGTGCTATCTTTTTGGAGCCGGCATGAGGTGAGTGCATTGTCTTATTAGAGCAGGTCTAGGGTGAATGAGGAGAACTCATAGCGTCATTTTGGGGGGTGGGGGGGTGGTAAGTGTTTTACGGCGCTCGCAACTGCATAAATTCATATGACCACGCAGGGCACGTAAGGATTTTCAGTTTGGTAAGAATTAATTTCAAGTTTTGCCCTGGTGGCGGCTGAAGCCTACTCTTATCGATTTTGGACCAACAAGGGATCTTTGACGGGCACAAATTGCACACGGGACCTCCGAGATCTTTCGCCCTTGTCCGAGAAGGCTAAGTGTAAATCTTTCCTACCAGAAGATCAGGGGTGTGGCTGAAAGAGAGCAGTAAGAAGGAGCAAAGGAGTAGCAGTAGAAAGGCTGCAGAAAGAGATAGGAGCCCAGAGGAGGGGGCAATTGAAGAGGTGAGGGGTGGGGACAGAAGTGGAGACGAAAGCAGACGACAGAATATTGCTAGAGAGCAGGAAAGGAGGTGAAAGGAGACAATTTTAGAGAAGAAATTTTTTCGTCGCTACCCGGATTTGAACCCGTGACCTTTGAATGAGAGGCGAACACTTACTTTACTTTACTTTTCCGATCCAGCGGCCATTTGGGTTCTAGCCCTTCGGTCTGCCATGACCTTTGAATGAGAGGCGAACACCTTAACCTCTAGGCTGCAAGAGCCCCAGGGCAGGTATGGGGGGAGTGAAGAGAACTCGTGGTGTCTTTTTTTGGTAGTGCTGATCGGTGCAGTCAAAATTGAGTGCCCGTACTTTATGGGCACTGATTGGTGTCGAGTACTGCTAGTACCGGTACTGGAACCGATATCCGTACCGGGACTGAGAATAGATGACGTCAGAAGCTTTGACAGTCTTGTGTTTCGATTGCTGCATTAATTTTCTCCACCAGTCACCTTGTGTTTTGTGCTGTGTGCTGTGCATCGGACGTCACAGTAGCTTCTTCGCACCGCACAGTTACAATACGGGCTTTTGCCCCAAGGGCACACCACCTGGTGTGTTAAATCTATCCTTACATCGTGTTTTACTATCGTATCCATACGACGTGTGGAACTCTGTGCCCACACTTTCCAAAGAGGAAATT